GAGACGCTGATCAAAATGAATCTAAAAGCCCCAAAGGATGTAAAAACAGGTAGAGCCTTTTTTCGGGTGCGTCGATGGTATGAAGCAGCTGCTCGTTATTCCGCAGCCTTGAGCGTCCTTATATTAGTTATTTGCAATAAAATCAAAAATAGTTCAAGTACCTTCTATTAGGCAAACTAGAATTTTTAACCAATCGATAGACCTGTTCGTGATTTTTATTGCATTTAATATCGTTGTACCCCTTCATCGTCCGTATGATCTTTTGCCTCTATCGATCGTGCTTCGTCTTCTTAAAGTAAAATCGAAGGGAAACGCGATTGCGTACGGCTATCGATGAAATAAACGCTACACTGGAAGTTGTGTTTTTCATGCATATATTAACACGGATTACAATACGCTCTCAATACCATTGCCTGTAAAACGATTAAGGTATTTTTCTCTTCAGAACATAAAACTTACCCCTTCGGTGTCAAACGATCTGTGTCGCATTGACACCGTTTGGCGACAGTCTTTGTGCGTGCATTGATGTCATAAAAGATGCGAAGAATTATAAACTCGGATCAGTTTAATTTGGTTGGTAGCAGGTTCGGATAGCTTGACGGTCGTGCTCCATGGAATGGGCGTTTATGGGAAGACATCCGGAAGTAAAAGAAACGATATCGGGCGGAACGTTAGCTTTTATTGGCTTAGAGCGTTGCTAGAATAAAGTTGTAAGCCAAAAGTATCTTATATATATCTAATATACAGAACTGGTCATTTTAGGATGTTTGCAGGTGTTTCGTCTCTATTCTTACGACAATTTATTTACGACTTATTATTGCTATTATTAGATGCGCAGGTGAAGGTGGACGTTCGGATATTATTAATGGTTTCTAGAATAGATCAATCCACTGCTCTTCTAGGGCCCGGCTGATCTTTTAACCGAACTCGTTCAATGCTTAATACAACTCAACTATGGATATTCGTAGGCTGTTTTCAACATACAGTAGCACTGAAGGCGCATATGAGTAAGTTAACTTGGCGTCGATAAGTTCTCCACGAATTCACGTTTTGCTATTTGGTCGACTAATTTCCCATATATGTTTAGTCTTTCACTAGGGATAGACTAATATTTACGTAAAAAAATGTGGTCAGCAGATTAGCACTTCTAATTTTTGCGTTTCACTTCAATTTTAGGAATAAATTAACTATTTGCCGGTCGATCTCTCAAAAAATGTGTACATTTTTCTCGCCAGACAGTTTTAGCTTCAGCGTGGAAGCACTCGAACATTCAGTAAAGGTACGCTTTACTACTGAATATAATGTTGTTTGGTTTATTTGGAATTGATCGAAAAAGGTTATAATAATGAGGAGGCCTGAAAGACATGATAGATACGAATTAGCCCCCTTTTCCCCTTCCCCATTCAACTCCCCGCAGAGATGCTTTGACGATTTTGAATTTTTTTGAAGATTGACTTTTGCTTGTATACAATGCTGTATGCTCGATATAGTCTAGGCTACCAAACGTAACTAAATTACGCGCAAATTTTTGCTTATAGTCTTGCTTTTCCCAAGCGTTCTGCGGTTACAGGACGCTTGTGGTTCATGACTTAACTCTGGGCGTAACTTAGTCGTATTTTTCGAAGTTACCAATTTCTTTCTTATCTGTATGCTGACTTGCAAACAATACTCTTTGTAAAGCCCTATTTGACAATTCCGTGTAAAAATCCCTCATTGTGGTTGCGTGTTTCCCAGTGCCAGGTAAGGTGCCAAGAAATGATAACAATAATTCGTTGGCACCTTCACGCAGTCTATTGGGCATCCAAACTTTTCATTGCTGGGTAAACGCCACTGAGTAAAGACGTCTAAGTATAGTCGAACAGGTGCAGTTCTTGGCAAATATATGAGCTGTTTGCCTTATGTCTTCCTTCAAAGACCCCTTTAGACGAATTACTCTCAGATGCCGACCGAAGTGAGGTGCGTCCTCCAGATTCCGTCTTGAGTTAAGCAAACCACTTTTGTCCTTAACATAAATTCTTGATATTAGTCTGGTTAAAAAAAATGCAGTTACGAATAGTTTATAAAAATCAATACAAAGCGGACAAATAACAAAGAACGGTCACTCTTTGATTGCTTTTAGATTCAGGATGATTGCTTTTAGAACAACCTGATCAGAAAAATGCAATGAGCATCAATATTCTTAAGCTATATCATTCTATATGCATTCCGTACTATATACAATATAATTTGCAACGATTGGGGTATGAACTCAATCTCGCCACAACATATCCTTCGTCTTCGCTACCGAAATATAAACATAGAATACTGAAGAACTTTCCTCACACTAAATCGTGGCTGACATTGGCATCTAATTCTGAATTGACTAGGATTTTTCCCTGAGACTTTAGGTCAACCCTAAAGTCTCAGGGAAAGGAGGGAAGTATCGTGCAGCTAATCCAACAGGAAACGCAAAATGCGTATTCATGGCAATCTAGCAAAAGGGATGGCATGTAATGCTCGGGATTCGGGCCCAGTGCGGCTGTAAGCAACATTATTCGTAATATTAAAACCTATACAATACGGTACGGTGGGGCGCTAGCTATTACCTCACATTGCCTTTTCCTGGTAATAAGGAATTCTAAAGCTACCTTTACAGAATTGCTAAGGCCCCTTTAAATCGCTACGTTTTACGCTCAGTCGATCTTGAAGACGTGACCTACCACTCGCTGGCAGTAAGCAAAGCCTTTTCCCCATGCTAGGAAGCGATACGCGACATGGGAGGTAACGTTATCTCATTGCAATGGCGCGAAAAATTTCCTATCCTTCCACGGCCAATTGCGCAACCACTGGAGCAAATGGAGAAGCTCTGATACGAGCGGTATTACGTAAAAGGAACGTCTCGTTAAATGGCTGCTAACCAATACGAAAAACAGGCCAAATACTTAGCCTATTAATGTAAAGCTAGCCTGGAAGTGATAAAATTCAACACATAAGAAACTCGAATCAAAAAAGCTTAGCCGTTGTTATGGCAACCGGTTCCTATTTCTTTTAGCGGTAAGCAATCTTCGATAGCTACAACTAGTCTCCGAGAGAGAAGTACGATCTACCAGTATAATTTAGCCGACAATTGTACCTTATTGGTGTGATTTGTCTCAGCACCTGTAATATTAACTGACGGTCTATGTTTGAAAAAAAAAGCTGAAAACATTTATGCCAACTACCACTGAGACCCAAAAGTAGATTTGTAATAATCTAGGGGAAAAGTGGCTATGATTTATCTATCACAAAGTATGCAGTAAATAATGCTTCACGCAGAAAAAAATCAACGGTGGATTTTTCATCATCATGGAAAAATAATAATAACATGATAGTATCGACAGATGATGGGACGTGGCGCATATATACGCATGCAAATAAATTTGTTTAAAAATTATGAGATTATTATTATTTAACGATTTAAATTTTTTTTCGCTAGGAAAAGGGCAAGCGACCGCTTCAGCTAAATTAAACTATAAAACCAGGAATACTAAATGATGGTATGTCAACTCTTCTGCCCAATATTTGACCACCTTTGCATAGTTTTTAACGTCACGCGATAGCATAAAGTGTATGTATATATATATATATATATATATATGTATATATATATACCCCTTCATTTAAATTTAGGGAGACTAATTGGGTAGGGCTGTACTGGAAGACAAGGTTAGGTCATGACCTTGTTTACGAAGGATACGAAGTATCTAACACCATCACAAACAAAGTGATGAGTCTAATTTTTCTAGCGTTGATACACAGTCGTTTGGCTAAAGATATACGAACAAAGTAGATACACAGAACATATGCTATTGAGCGATATGATCTCTAGACCGCAACATATTAGCAATGCGCGTTATTGTTATTGGTATATCCGATGAATGCCTTTGAGATGTAACCTGCATAGTAATAGAAACATCCTATATATAATATATAAATAATGAAACAAAGGCGCTCTCATTTAAATTTCCTTTAAGTTACACGTCATAATTAAATTCCGTACCTCCATTAAGCACCACGTGCTTATCAGGCTTTCTTATGCTAGCAAAACTGAACCTATTTTCGCAATTCCAGACCTACATGTAGCCTGTATAATCCTATTTATTACAGCCATGTCTCGGCTGTAGAAAAACTCAAATGCACTTACTATCCCTATCAACTGCTAAAAATTACTGAGTCTCTACTGGTTTGGTAGATCTACAAAACTTTACACTGGCTCAATTTACCTAACAGCTTCTAAATTTCCGTCCAATCGGTAAAATCAACCGATTCGTCAATAAACGTATACATATTTCAGATATTGTAAAAGCGAAAAAAAGATTTACAACTTCCCATCCACTGGTTTCGCAAAAAATAACGAAGCAGTACCCGAGGCTTTTCGATCCTTTCTATTGATGATCGGACGGGCACGATTGCTGTATAAATGGATTCATATTGCGAAAACATGACACAACTGACTAAATAGTTTAGTTTTGGTCACGACGATCTTCGTGAGGAGCGAATTCTCTGTGCTAATACGCCTTACTTTGCCTCCACCGTACATACGTTTCCCGTGATATAGACATTCGAAGATGGAAGAACCCCACCGCAATGAAGAACTAGAAAAAATCTGTAGGTTTTTCTTTTAAGCAGTAATTAATTAGGTTATTCACTGTTTTCGATCTATGAATTTTAGCGTCACTGGAAGGGCGGGCGAGCGAGCGGGCTGGCTAGATTATAACTTATCAATTGAGCAGCGAAATAGGGGTTCACGTTTTATAATACGTATATATATATATATATATAACACAGTGGCGTTATTGACATGCAACTGTCCGTCCGTCCGTCCGTCAAATATCATAAAACGATTTAGCGAATGCGGGTTCTGCTACGTCGATTCATACCCCTATAAAATGAATGTATAGAATGATCAATTATCTGTCCTTTGTTTACAATGAATTTGTCGTCTGCTTCTGATGGTAGCGTTTTCCCTCTCCTGGTAACTTTTACAAATGAATCAATCCCGGCGGGTGAACGCTGTGTCGGGCTGTTTTTTAGCATTGTAAGTATAGGCTCAATTTTATCTTGACGCTTTTCAGAAGCCATACCTCGACGATGCAGTAGCCTCCGCAAAAATACAGTGAATTTTAAACGAAAAATACACTGATCGATAATGGCTCTAAATCCACAATGTGATTTTGCTTATATGGCAGACACTAGGTTCTGGTAGCCGCAATATTGTAAACGTTTTTTTGAGCCATTCATGAGTGTCATCGCACGACTCAGTCGTGTAGCAGGCTACAGCTGTGTTTTCAGAACTTCGATGTATGACGCTAACGGACGCATTAATTAAAGAGTTCACAACAGAACACCTTGTCAGGCAGGGATTCTGAATATATATATATATACTATTGAGGCGAACTTTGTGGTTGATTGACATTGTATACCTATGGTAGTTTAGGAGAAAAGCCAGTGGGAAAACGTACTAAGTGCTTCTAGAATTGTTATTTCCTTTTTTTGTTGTTAAAAGAAACGTATTCAAGGAAAATTTAGACAGGGTTGTAATCGTGCCTATTAATAAATGAACGTTTTGGGAAAAATCGATGCATTCAAATGGAGCAAGCAGGGAGTCTTTCCTAATCAGACACCTAAAACAAGTTTCCTGTGCCCAACTCACACCCCTAAACCTATATATAGATCATTTGATGTGCGATGTCGGAACTATCTAAGTTGACCGATGGCTTCGATGGACAGATAAAGCCAGGAACCTCAGATACGATCTACTATGATGACTTCTTAAAGCTGGAAACCATCAAATGTTCGATTTAGAAGCCTGATCATCGCGGGTCGTCTTTAGTGTAATTCAACTTGAAACTGAGCATAAAGATAATTGTTTTATTTTTCCATATCGACGTATGCATACGTACGTGTAGCATTTGTGTGTGCTTTGTGGCATCTCTTATTGAATATAAAATTTGTTTTTGTCGACTTGTTTAGTGGTTGGCCGTGGCAGTCCTATGCTAAAACGTCCTAGGCCGGCTTTGGAGCTCTGAAGCATATACATGTTGTGGTACCTCTTCTGCGGTCAGATTTTATTCATTAACTATAGTCTATTAGAGCGAAGAACATTACGTTTTGAGGGCAAACACATGTCGATTGATATGTTATTATTGTAATTCACCGTACTCATTCATCTTTTATCAATTATTTGAAAACTCCCCAGTATAGACTTGATATACTTATTATATGATAAAGTTTATAGGTAAATTTTGTCTCAACTATGCTGCAGTTTACAGGTATCGTTTAGCGGTGAGAGGATACAAATTTCGTATTTCAGTTATTGATGGGACCGAAGTCGAGGTTTAGAGTAATGCTGGGAAGAATGGTTACGAATTGTTTGGATGAAACTTTTTTGATTCCATCCTAAAGCTTAGGAAGTATATGCACACAGTAGCTAACCAATAAGAGCTTCATATTTAAGGCTGAACTGGTCTTGACTTGGGCCTGTTACTCTCTATGTTTCGAGCGGTTTTGACTAATTTGACCGCGAATTTTTTAAAAGGCCACACCAAAGCATTAATTTCGAGAGTCTGATGGAACGTAGAAACGATTGTTTAACGCCCTGTTGTATAAATTGGCTCATAGACAGTGTTAAGATGTGCATGCTATTCTAACTCCCACTGGCTTCCAACGTACTCTAAAATAGGAGTTCAAAGGAAGGATCACGCTAGATTAAGAAGTATCACAGAATACCAAATTAAACATTTATTATTAGTGAATATTATTTAAGAGTAACTACCTTTAAATGGCCAAACATACATGTGTTTGAGATGCGCAATATATATTATTAATTGCAAAAATACTAACATCCTGAAATCCAGTATAATTTGATTCGAATGGCCATGAGAGGTTAACCAATGAAGATTTTCCGTTTAAACTTCATGGGACTGGAACGACAGAGCACCAAAAGAATACCCTACAACATAACAGTCATTTGCTGCAATATTCTAAGGATAGTGTGCGATTAGTTATTGCCGATTATGATACTGATCATTGGATCCTTTTTTTTTTTTGGCCCACAAATGCTGTGAGAATTTGTAAATGCTGGCAAGCGCATATGGGTGTTTGGAAATCAGTTACCACTTAATAAAGCGAATTGCTTAACCGAGAAGCAGCATAACGTAGCTAGAGATAATTTGCAGAGTTCTGTTGCAGTCAAAGCTTCCGTGGTCGGCTTATTCCTGTGCAGCGTCGCATTGCTTGTTCTTGGCTTTATCGTTGGAAAAAGCCGAAATGAATGGAAAAGTCCTTGACTTGTCCGAATCATCAAGGTAAGTTGCAAATTGAACTGACTTTTCCCCGCGTACGATTTCGGCTCGAGGGCGTAAATCGATAATTAACGTAACTTGAATTTTTCGAAATTCAGCTGCACTTCTCAATTATAGCTGTGTATTACACTTATGTAAAGTTAAAAACTATCGTAGAAAACGAATTAGTTGCTTGGAAATCAACGAAGGTAACGGTAGTTCTGGAACTTGAAGGCAATCCTATCTACAATACTTAACACTTTTTAAAGTTAGCAATGACAACATAGCGCGTTAAGAGACCAAACTATGGAAAACTCTTCTACTTACCCTAAAAATGTTATAATTTTGTTATAGATTATAATGTTATTATAAGTACTGAATGGTACTGGCCAAAATTGTATGTAATCGTTAATATGATCTGTAACACGATCTATGATTCAGATTTAAAGTACAGATCTCAGCATAGGTGCAACACAATAAAGCACTAAAAAAACGTCCATTTATAAATAAAAACACCGATTAAAATTATTCTATAAAGAAAAATGACGAGTTTATTTACAGAACAAAAATAACTTAATATCATAGTAACAATTCAACGTGGCTATATGGCAATTGGATCGCTACCAACGATCTAGATCGGGTCTAGGACGCGGTGCTTTTGGGTACAAACCAGATGAATAAACGGGGGGTGAATCGCCCATCCAGCCACTCTATTCTAAGCTAATCATATAAAATGAATGTCCATGACTGATGAACCCAAAAGTACTGTTGGTACCTTATGACATTGAATGATTGATGGCCCATAAAAATATTGAATCCTTAAAACCCTTAATAAAACTTATTGGGTAACGTTCCATACAATGCTACGCTTTACATTTATCCCTCCCCGAGAGTACCCTCCGGTGCCAACGTGAATTAACTAAATGCATTTGTCGTTCAGTCTGACTGAAACAAAATAGGATGATTGTCTACAAGCAGAACATTACCCTGGCAGTTTACCCTATTTGATGCTTTGTAATTTATGAAATGGGAACTTGTTTAATTTGCTCGTTCCAGTCAAACGAGTAGATTATTTATATATCTGAGTTACTTAAAAAGCCTAAAACCGTATGGTTGTGTCAGTTCAAAGTTCGGTGACTGTATTCCGGGATTCCCGCTTGACAATAATGTACTGCGCGACACCCGGTACTTGAACAGCTTTGAAAGGCCGAATCTCGAATAGATACATCAGATCTGCTAAGAAGGCCAACACGTTTGTTCGCATACCAGCATGCAAAAACAACATATCTTCGAGGCAGACCAAGTGAACATCCTGTGGCAAGTGTCGCTCGCAGAAGTCCTTGACCCGATGCTGGTTAGACAAAGAGTCGCTGAGCGACATCGAGGGTGAAAATGTGATGTCCTGAAACGGCAACTGATGGGGACAGTACAACGAGATGAGTGAGGCCAGCGCACTACCGTCGGAGAGGTCAGACAAATCCTGCCGATTACAGTTATACATTGAGTAAATTAGAATCGTTAGATTTATCCTTGAAGTGATGGCCAGGCAAGCCCAATCAATAAAGGTCGTTTCACCGAATTTTCAAAGAAACACAATATACCAGAGATGCCAAACGCTATCTAAATAGCTCTCTTTGACCCACTGTAGGATGTAATTAGATTATCAGTAATTAGTTAGTACAATTTATAGAGAGAACTATGTTCGGAACAAGGTTTGATACCCATTGCTATTGAGTCTAATAATAATAAAAAAAACCAAATATCATACAACTTAAAACAGCAATTAATATGGCTACACACCTTACATCTTTGCTGTTCACAGGATAAAATTGCCAAACTGGCCAGATTGGCCAGGTGTTGCCAATAAACAGACTAATAACTTATGTTGGTACGGCTGCGGGCGAGGGACTCGCCCAGTTGTGCCATCCTTTGAGACGACTATCTAATCAGAAACTAGTCTTTAAGTTTGCGTTTCTGAGAGTCGAGGCGAGTGCCGACTTCAGAGGAACCTTCAGCCAGCCTTGTTAGCCACTGACCAACATGGCCAGAAAGTTAAAAAAAGTTAGTAACAAGCGATGTTGTTTACAGGACACAATAAGTAATTCGTTAATTTAATTGGTCTTAAAAGGAAGAGACCGAAACGGCTGACTGGTTGCAAACCTAGAAAACATTCACTGTATGACCTATTTTCAGGCTTTGTTCCTCTTGTTAAGGTCTTGTATTGTACAGAGTATGTTATCTATTTTTACTCGGAAGCTGCCTGGCGTAGCTTACGTCGTACAGCATCCCCTTTCGTTGACGCTGTGTGGCGGCAAGTGAATAGATGGAAATACTTTGTCTATGACAAGAGATCAACCATTTTAAACTTATCGTACAACCGTAGATAAAGCAACCATATTAAGCTGTGCCCATAACTCAACTAACGGTTGGAGGGTCCAGTAAAGATATCTAGACGATTATATTAATTCAGGATTTTACGGCGGTTTGTATTCGTACAACAGTTGCTGCTTATATCTTTGAAGGTGTGAAAGTTATTAGGACAAAAAATGTAAATTCAATGTTGCTCATGCACGTCTGTGATGGCTCAAGTGTAAAAGCCGTGTTAAGCGAGCACAGAACTGGTTTTTGCTTATAGGCTAGCCTTAGGGTTCCTGTATTCTTAAAGTGTGTCTAAAGAGAGATATTTGAAGGGGCATGAAAGATATATGCTTAGCATATGTTTTTCAATCAGTATGCCAAAAATACTACAAAGTGATCGCTAGCTTAGTTTAGAGACGCAAGGATACAAGTTTCTAAAAGATAAAAAAATAATAATGAAAAGTATAAATAAATAAATACCTTTGTCTTTGTTCTTTGGTTTGCCTAGCTTTAGTAACGGTAAAAACCACCGACTGAGAATAAAGGCCATTGGAGGCGTATGTATTATATATCAATTAATGGGTTTTACCTGAACATGTACGACCTTTGGCAGCATAACCTTATGTTCCGCGTGCACCTTTTCACGAAGTGCCTGCAATAGTGGATTTAAGAAATTACTACAAACAAGCCGATAACTCCTCCTAAGACACAAAGTACACATCTGCTAATGATACTTGAAGAAAGGGATCTTTTAAAAAAATTTTAGTCTTGTGTTGAGTGTACCGCTTTTTCGGGATAACCACTTGTCAGTAAATTTTTAAAACCTATATATACATATATATCGTTATATCCTTCCAGAAAAGTCGATTGTCGAACGCACACGAGGTTCTATAGAACTCGTCAGTTCAATAGCATCTGCTCGGAAGATCCTCATCAAAAAATGCTCTTACCTATAATAATGTACACGGTGTTGTGTGTTGATAGGAATATAAATCGCCATCCTTATTAATGCGTGGTAAAACAGATTCTCGCAATAAATTCAAGTAATTAGCACCAGTCACGGTAGCAAAGAAAGATAGGCCAATTACAGGGTAGACATTTTTTTGAAAAACCTTGTGTTTACTATGGAGGTATTCATTTTTGTACTCTTCGAACATTTTAAACAGGGTGTAAATCATCCCAGTTTACAGATCCTTATAGATAAATATAATAAGCAATGTCACATCCGCTGCGATTTGTTGGGTATTGGAATTACAAGCATTACGACGCAGCGGACAGCTTGGAAAACCTTCAGCAATAAATAGACCATTAAAGTCTCGAGGAAGCTGTTCAGGAACCGCTAGAAGCAAAGGTAGCGAGACAAAATGGTTCAAGAAACGAGAACTGGTAAAGATAGCTGGCTTAAATGGAATGCAGCTAAAAACGTTCGATATGTACACGATCAAACGTACGGCGATTTGTTACATCCGTTTAAGATCTATACATAGTTATTCGTGATGGGGAAGTGATCACTTCAGTAAATGACGGCCATGTCTAGTTAATAATTCGTTCTCCTTCTGAGTCATATGTAAATACGCCAAAAAAACGACTGACGGAGACCGATATTTCAGCTATTAGCCTGAATAATGATAATACCAGAAGCAATTTAGAATTTCTAAAGGTGTTGGGACTGTTGTTGACCCGATAAGTCTAGACAACTTCTACATCGTAGCGGTTTAAGTATCACTGCGTTAGATCCCGAAAAAGAACCATGACGGCATTGTCGCACGATCTGCCTTTATATATACATATATTAAGGACTTTATATAAATCAGAGTTATATCCATCGCAACAATATTTATTGGATCTCGCTACACATACAGTATGTTATCGGATTTTGCTCATCATTTGAAATGTTTATTTGCACGTATCTTCCGTAGTACAACTAGAAAATACGGGTGTTTTAAAAAACTTGTCGTCATCAGCTATGTCATGTCAACTCTGATCTTCATGGACAAGGCCAGTTCGACGTTGGGTGTTTCATAGACTCCTACAAGAATGTTCAGCTGTTTCATTTTGCGAGGTCTTATTTCAGTATATTAGCGGTTTATCTTGATACCTCTACAGCTGACGTTTGCAAGTTAACGGTTAGGTAAGTCGGCTTTAATAGAATACTACTTTTCGAAGCGCGAAGAACGCAGAACATGGTAAGAAAAAAAATGAAAATAATTTAATTAAATGCAATAACCAAATACGTACTGAAACAATTATATTCGTTAGTCCTAAGTATAATAGTTTTTTTTTTAACAAAAACATATATTTATACGCAAACTTGATAGGGTTTTGATGTTGGCTGTTTTTTTTTTGTTACCTGTGCACTTCGGTTAATCCAGAGAATAGCAGCGTCTTCAGCATCGGCCGGTGGACCTGGTTTTGTCAACGAGGAAACCGAAGCTGGACCAGTTAAGCCATTGTTTGCCGAAGGAGTAAATCGTTCTACCACGTGGAATACTTTACTGGGAATGAGTACTTCGCGAATAAATAGCTCCATAAGTCCGTCCGAAAAGTTCAAATGCGCTGACTGAAGTAAGCAGAAGACAGAATACATATATCAAATCAGATATCAGTCGAAAAACGGTGCCTTATGTTTCAATTCTGACTCAACACTTTCGTCAAACCCTGTAAAAGCAAAAAAAACTCAACTATATATTTTTATATGTTTTTTACGCTGTATGGTAGCAGTTGTTTATCGCGTTATGAACGCGGCTTGAGAATTGTAATCAATAGCGACGAGACGCTTTTCTAATTTTGGTGACAACGTATTGGATAAAGTTAATTTGTTAAAACTCAAACTTATGTTATTTAACTCTCGAGACCAACGATTGATAACGAAGAGCGTAATATATAGTTACTGTTTGTTCGTTCGATCCGCTAAAAACATCCTCTCTGGGACATTCCATATGAAATCAACCTTCACTGATATGTGAACTTCGACATGTTTTGATGTTTTTGTGCTTACAAATATGGCAAATATCAGATAGATGTGGCAAAACCGAATAAGCCAAACTTCTCAAAGTGATTCTATTTGAAATCGCATCATTGGATAGAGGCGGCGCTATGGATAAAAGTTAGAAGTAAGTTTAGAAGTAAATAAAGGATGATAATATAAAGGAAAGTGTAGATTGAAGAGAATGTTTAAAATGTTCAATTGTCGGTGATTCAGGTAAATACTTTTCTAGAATTTTCTCGTCTGTGCAGAAATCGGTTAAACGGGAAGCTACAGCGATTCAAATAACTCATTGAATATCTTCATTGAATGCGTCCGTTAAACAACACATTTGCCATTTATCAACTGTGTCAAAAACTATGATAAAATAAAAAGCTAGACATTCCGATGTTATTATAAATCTCTGTATCTCATTGCAGTTATGCATTGGAACATGCAGGACCCATTTTAGACGCATGCAATCAAAAAACTCATTCACAGCAGTGAATCGGTTGCCACATGAGACAAGTGGGCTTGTCCTTTGGCCTTTCACTAGGCTGTCGTACAGAAGCAATATTTAAGTAAAGATGAATTACTATTGTTCTTATTACATAAGCATAAAGTTATTTAATTTTTCTCGGTTCCAAAAAACGTCACCATCTGCGGATAAATGCTGGTAGCAGCAATGGCTTTATTAAACGAGAAAGTTTGCCTTTAGGTTTATTATATAAACATTACTCTACATTCCGTGCTTTGATGCTAACTTTACTTGATTATGTGTTCAAGCTCTCAATTAAAAAAATACATAATAATTCCAACAGTTGTAGCGCAAAACGCAGACTATGTCTAAACCTTTCTGCCTATTCGGAAAGATAAAATGACTACAATCTTATCTCTTTTGATGGACTTATATAATCATATGCCCATAGCGCTAGCTTACCCCGTGAATTTTTCCCCCATTTATCTTTGAAATATCCATGTATAAAATATTTAAAGCTGTTTACCCAACAGGACATAAAATCGATATAAATTTCCATCCAAAACAAGAGAGCTCTGAGATCAGCTTTACGGTTGGACCTGTCTCTTCCAGATTGATGCCTAATAAAACGTACCTGAAAGAAGAAGGTCTTCGAATGATGTAAAGACTATCGGTCGCGCAGTAACTTGTCAGAATATCTAAAATCTAGCATTTAATTTTCTACTACTTTGATCCACCTACTAATAATAATGATTTCAATAATCCAGTTCCCTCTGATATTACTTTTAAGTACTACTAAGATATATAATAATTACAAGTAAATACTAAGGTACTATCTTAGTATACGCAATGTACTCTTTGCTCGGCGTACTTATGGAGGGGCATTTGTCGACAGGTCAGCATAGAATGTTTTTCATTGTAACTTTCATACGTCCATCAAAAGAGTAGCTCATCTTCGCAGCATAAATAGGTGAAATACCTTAAAAACACAGGGTGTCGATAGGACTACAAGCACGCCTAATTCAAAGGATGTAATTGGTGGCTCCAATGATAACTAGATGAAAAGTTTTGGCTGCAAGGTAAGTGCATTAAGGCACTTCTAATAGTCAAAAGGACCCGATAAGCTGCTGTCTACTAATAAAACGTGGATGTATTTGACTCGCCTATTTGATGCGTAAAATTCAATATTCTTAGGTAGCTCTGGGACACAAAGAAGTCCAAGTAAACCATGAACATCTCAGAGCGCAGGTTATTCTGAATGGCCTATGGTAACAGGCCCTCGTAAATTGAGTAGCAATACGCTTGCCCATCGGTAAGTTATTTCTAAGTAATAAATAGTGCACAGACCAATAACGCAAAAAAACATGGAGCATATAAGTGAGACCGAGGGCAAACGGTAATGACAAACATAAGCCGCTGCTCTGTCGCGTAAACAGTTATCAATTTACATAAAGATTCCAAATAGAGAGATTTATTGAATTTTATGTGTACATGGAAAGTCTATTATACAATGGGCACGGTTGTCTTTCTCAATGCCAGCTTGGATCCAAGTTTTTGTAAGAGCGTTCAGTTTCGTCACCTTTAATCTCAATAGTAGTTATCATTGCCTATTTCTTTTGCCTATATTCCGTACTGCTATGGGTCGTGGCAGTAATATTAGGAATTGTCGTCGGTATCGTCATACCAGGGCGAGATGTTGTCCGTATCAATACCGCTTGTAGCGATACCCGTGTGTCGCTCCCAGGAAACGTCTTCCGGGAGGCTCGTTTGTGTGTCTTTTATTACCTTGGCATGCTACCAGACCGACAATGGCATATACACACTACACGCAATCAGTCTATGTACTGACTAGAAAAAGGAAACACGTGATCAATGTAGAATAAAGCAATAGGACTACCGATACGGAATTTCTATACGCACACATATAGTCCTTACCATGTTCAGTGGACTGCACTCTTCGAGCGTAGCCGGGGTGACCTTGGTACCACCTTTGAGCGGTTTTATTTCTATACCTTTACGCTCGAGCATTGTGAATATCTGATCAAAGGTTAGCTCGGAGTATGCGGAATCCTCATAGAGATTTCGGAGCACCATACAGTACATCTTACAGGAGGAGAGCAGGTCGACGATGTCAGGCTTCAATCGATACTGACTCTGTAGTAATTCAAAAAAAAAAAACATGTTTGAGTAAGCATCGATCACAAATAAGCTCGGAACTGGATTGCTAATTATCGAATAATTTACGATTCCCTGTGTTGTTTCGAAAAAAGCCAATACGGTGTGTCAACTCTAAATATCAGTTTGCCTAGTTTCGCTAATTTCAAGGATCAAGCAATGCAGAGTATTAGCTAGAAGTTAAACGTCTCGTAGTTAGTAGATAGCAGTTTTCCGTTTTCGCTTCAACCCTCCATGAAGAACTGCTCAATATAAAATTAAGAAAAAAAATAATAAATAATTTTATAGCGTGCGATTGAGTCAATTAGTAAATAGGGCCCTGTTAAATAGATAAACCCCGCTTATTACTAAAAAATGTCGTTCCTCGAACAACTACAACAAGCAAACTAATTTAGCCTCTCCTGCAGTACTTCAGGCCAAAATCAAACTAAAAACAGAGCTCTAGTTGAAGTCGTACTCAAATAAAGGGAACAATATTGGGTTCATTCACACTTCTTCAGATTTCCAGAAAAGCCATTTTTTCTACTGCAGCGAAATACCGTTACTCCCCTTGCGGAACGTCCCTTGTAATCATTTTAGCGAGGTTTTGTGAGGGTTAAAACTCACATTCGAATTCGTTGCGTTAATGTCCACGAGGCGTGGTAGTAGGGATTAGGTGGCAATAGCAATGAGTGTTTAGGACATATCAAATGAATGCAAGGACGTGTTCGCCCCTTTTTAGCACACTAAGACGAACCCTTATTACTATTCCACGATGTCACGATGGCGCCAAAACTGAGCATCGTATTCGGATACGGGTCGCTTCCAAACTAGTAGCCCAAAGAGGAAGTATAATAGACACGTACCTGAACCCTTAATAAGTTCATACAGTTGTCATTCTTTCAAGTCTACTCTGCGTTTTATTCATTTTCCTGCGGAGAAATATAACAGCGATTAACGGTAATCTTAAGAAGAGCGAACACTTTGTTTTCCTATTCAAAACCGTTTGCTGGATTAGAAAAGTGGGGAAAAGCTGTCAACCCACGCAACTGCTGTTTTGTTCACGGCAGTCAAGGATCTTCGATATTAAATTTCCGATGATTAGTATATCCGAAACGTAATGTAACCTTTTAATGCATTCGAGAGCAAGCAATGACGCTATACGAGTAAAGTCACCGAAAATAGACTTTGTAGAAGCTTTGCTTTAACGACTTACTAGACTACGAAAACTTAGTAAGCTTGCTCAGCTTGTGACCACGACCTCCATCATATATCAACGGCTCTATCATTTTGTATTCTAACATAAATGAAAAAGGTTTCATAGATAGCATTATCAAAGATTTGCATTTGGCCGACGCGGATAATAAGCACTAAATTCCCAGCTCAATTTTTTTTCAGCAGGCTTCGTTATTTAAACAGGCTTGTTTATTCAGAGTAGGCCTTTTTGAGAACATCGTATCTTCATGCGCTTTCCTTTTCACTTTACAGGTACGAACAGAGCCCCATTACAGAAAAAATTGGGGTTAATAGAGAATTTCTTATAACGAATTAAATTTTTCTCCGTAGAGGTTTAAACTGTGAATAAACCCAAGGTAGTAAATCGTCAAATTGAAAATTTATTTGTCTTAAACACAAAGCCGTATTTTACAAGTATAAATTCGCGTGGTATACAGGTCGTTAGGTGCAAACATTATGTGTATGAACAGAAATGTTAATCACTATCGTTTGTTGAATTTTCGCCGAGGGTTATTATTTGCGTAATGTTTATTTCGCCATTATCGAGTGACGCCCATTTCATAGCGACCCATTGAACATTCGGAGGCAAAGTATTAAGCCTAAGAAGTACAATTATTTTTTATTATATGCGTGAAATTGGCACGAGCGAATATGACTTGAATACGTCATCGCTGGTCTCCACTTCGGACAGCAATAGACAGACAGACTATACAATCCCTACTTGAGGCAATTTCATCAATCTTCAATTTATTTACGAACGTGACTGCACAAAGAAAATGGCCGTCACACATGGAGTCAATAACTAACGAAGACAGGTTCTTTTGTCGAACGTCAACCTTTCCCACTTTATTTTCATCCTAATTGGAAAATAAATAAAACTCGGTGATGGACGAACGTGAGTATAAGAGGGCGAACTGCTAAGTGGTCGCTCTTTTGCGCAGAGAATTATGGTCGTTTGTCTTAGGCCGATATTTTTATCTAGTAAATCAGTATATAGAGGTTGTCTGGCGTATACGAAAGATGAAATTGCCCCGTTAGCTGAGGGTACATGTCACTGATAATATGATGAAAGAAGTAGCAGGTGAAGGTAGCAGCCATGTAGAAGAATGACTGAGAGATTGAAAAATTTTGATCTGACTTCTATAAAAATACAGCTATTTAAGGTTCGATCATGAAGCAAAGGTTCCGGCTGGGCTTACCGCAATTGAGGCCTAAATAAAGATGGTGTGAAGAAGGAAGTATGTCCAAGGATTAGGTCATTTGATGACCAAGACTTGCATACTACATTGTTGCAACACAGAAAACAGGGCACATTTTGTTTTCATTTCAACATTTTGTTTACCCTTTCATATTTAACATTACAGATACGAGCTAATTGAACACCGTCATGTATAAAAAATTCGCTATTTGATTCTTTTTCGCTATAAAATTGCCCCATCATCGCATCTAAAGGTACGCTGGGTCAAGTTTTATTGTCTAGTTTTATACCTGCAGATTGTCGCACACGGAGCCTTTAACGGACAAAGTACTTGTCCTCAATGCTTTATTGGCCAAAGAAGGCCGTCTGCAAATTCGCTTCTGGTATATAATTGTGTGATAAATAATTGTGAGCCAGCCCATACCGAACCATAGCGACGCATCATATAGCACTTTCGGTTGACAACCGTTAGACGTCAATGTAGTAAAACATTATTAAAACGTTCGCTTGAAAATAGATGGGCCAATAAAACGAAACAATTTCAGGGTAAGTTGCTGAGTAGCACATGTTTTTGACTGTTGTCAAGCTCAGGGTAAGACTAAAAGCATGGCAGTTCTATGTGGTTGAAGATGTCTATGTGGGTTCTATGGTGGAAGATAATACTTTATCAACCGTTGCTCTATCAACTTTGCACTTGTGTGCAGTGTTGAAGATATGTCCTTACCTTAAGCAATACATTGATCCGGTCCAAACACATCCTCTATTATTATAATCGTCTGTTATCATTAAATTCGATGTAGACGAAAAATATAAACTTCCCAATGGCGTATTTGAATAACATCTTAGATAGGGAATCTGTCTCCAAACAGCGATCTACCCACCGATACCCTTCCTAGTCTGTACAGAAATTAGGTGATTAACGAAATATCGTATATTTTTTTAATAGGCTTGCATTAAGCTTATCGGGCATTGGTTGATTTACCTCTGACTCTTTGTAATGCGGACTGCGTAGGTCGATAGGAATCCTTCCCTTATGCGCCTTCGCGAGAAGCCATAACAGGGTGCTCCTTTCCTTAGCCTGAAATATAAATAAAGAATTGTGGATAATAACAACGGGAAATGGCTTTGTTTAGTATAACCGTTCATCGTCAAGTACTTTTTGTTGTATGGAACGTGCTATCTGTTCTTTCAATCAATTCCAAACCAACAGTTTCTACTCACTGGCGATAATTATCGTTTTGTGAGATTTATTTTAGTTTGTGCCTCGCTTCCAAGCTAATTTAGCTTAATTAATTAATAATCATAGAGGCCCTTTTTTGCTCGTCTCAGGGTTTATGTGGAACGAGCCACATGGTATTTTGTCTTAGACCTCTACGAATTTTTTTATTTCATTTAATCGAAGGTTCTAGTGTTCATAAAATCTCAAAGCTGACTTATAGAAATGCTACGTAAAAGAGAAACAAACGCGCTCGGAAGGATGCTTTTGGCCTGGTATAGGAGGAGTATGCTGTGCGATAACCCATTGCATGTCTGCTGGGCTAGACGCTGCTTTGTTAAAGGTCCTTACATACCGAGATAAATAGCCGGGGGCTGTTATTTTTCCCTTGTTTCTACCTACCCAAAAAATGAAGCTTATCGTCAGATTTACCTAGAGCACGTTAGTTAGTTGGTGCAACGTTTAGCTGCATTTTAGGCTATTAATTTCGCATATAGTAATTTTCCTATAATATATCTTATAATAGTAGTAACTGCTCCTTGCGATTATTCCTACTAAACAGCAAGTTACACTTATTCGGCCTGACTAGTCAGCTGATAATTATGATATTTTTATTTTATCTAGAGTAACTGGTTTTCTGTTAGTGTAATAACTCGCTGCCGATAGAATATACAGTATATGTCGACTGCCTTTTCCAGGACTCGGCCGAAGACTTTACTGTATTAACATCTGCAACGTGCGTAGACGTTGCAGCTGATGAATTTAAAAAAACACGATGTCGTTATGCCGGTTAGCGGCAGTATATATAAGCCATACGTTGAGCGGCTGCTTTGATCAAAATGTTTTTTCCACTTAACTGTATTACGCCGTTCAAGCTAATCAGGAAGGCTGTTAACAGTTTTCTTGTTGTTATAAACTTGTTAGCAAGTTTTTATATTTATATATGTCGTAGGAATAGTGCAAACTTGATGCTAAACAGACTCTTGGGCTACGGTTTACGTTGATACGATCTAGAGTAGGATTCCAGTCTAGCCTCATGATCGCCATATCAGCACCTTATGTATAAATTTCTACATATACTTGTATTACTAATTGGCGACGGTAAATTTGCTGACCGCCGACTCGAGCCACCATCACTAAGAATTCCAGCGATTTATCATGTCTTAAACTCCAGCTAGACACTGTGATCACGTAACGACAAGCACGCCTCCGTTTGTTCATATATATAGATATATAGGAGCCTTAACTTCATTTTTTCCTGACGCATATCTACTCTTGTACATTATAGCACCCGAAAGGGGGGCGCAGCTGACGGCGCATTTACGGTGGTTTTTAAGGTTGCTGTTTATTGATGCAACAGAAGTGTTCGGTGAAAAAAGCTGATTTGTAAGCTAGACATGCTTCGTAAAATGCGTCGTTCAGCCAGACCTAGAATAACGCATGTTCTTTACTGCTCAACAACGCCAGGCATCCGAAAATACAAAACTTTGTTGCTATGTTTAAACTTGGTTATCTTATCCGGTGATTGATGATCCGACGGTGATTGAAAATCTGATGACACACAAGTAACGTTTCGTGCTGAACTCACGTCGTATCACCTGATTTAATCAGCCAAGAGGACTAACTTCGAAAAGACGGATATATCATTCGTCCCTCGATATCACTAATTAGTAAACGGAGCGTGTGTTTTTTAAAACCTACAACAGCATAGGCGACGATTTAATGAAGTAAAGAACATATATGAACATTTTCTCGTAATGCCTGCAAAACAATTTTCGAAAATTGCAGTAAATATATATATATATATGATCCATTGCACTTCAGTAGGTATACATTTGCCTATTTTAGTATTAGAAACTTATGTTAACTTTATTTTTACAACATTAGCCCTCCGTAATAAGTGAAAAGGATCCTTCAGAAAAAAATTAATCGTTTCATTCACGTTCACTGCTGGTAATGATGCCTATGTTTTTTTAGCATTCTCTCATGAATGGCTATTGACGGACAGTTACTTCATAAAGTTAACGTGCGACTAATTTTTACTTTCAATTTGGGTCTATTATCTATGAATCGAAGTTCTAGGCATATTTACGAGTTATGCGCAAAGTGCGAGCACACATCCAGGTAAATATTAACTCGATTTTAGATCTATCCATGCTTTATTTCGCATCCATTAATGCAGTGCTCCTATGCCGATCAATGCAATAACCCTGCGGGCGCACGGTCTTATCAGACCTTCCTCCGTTGCTTCCGAATGAAACGTGGCTCGCACGTATATCTTTCACGTCTGATGGAAGCTTTTCTTATAACAAAGGTGGTAATAATCAATAAAAAATTTTGCGAACAAATCAAAAGACTTGAAAGACATTGCTTGGTGTCATTTTATCTGAAGGGTTATTGGGTCGTCGTGCCGTTTCAATCAAAAATGACGGGAGACGTTTTGGTCGATAGAACGAAACCTGACCATTATGCGACGGTTCAGATTAAGCCTTTTGGTCAGTCGGATTCGGAGAAGTTGAACGTTACCCGTAAATATAATTAAGAATCATTTTCAATTTTAGCGGAAGTGGAGATATGTTCGAGTACATTTTTGTCAAGATACCCAGCACCCAGATATACAAATGCCTTCTAAAAATCAAGGGCATCCTATCTTTCCGATGCGATAAGATTGCGACACTTAATCAGCTACCGAAATACCGATGTTAGATTGTGTACATACAGGCACGTATCACTAATTAGTTAGAGCCGATGTGCTTGATACTAGTGAGTGCCAATATTGCCAATGGCGACTATTACGAATCTATCTGATACATCGTTGTGTCTATTATTTTAATTATCCCCAATAAGTGACCGATGTTGACATTAAACTCTAAACAAAACAGTGGAACGTAACGTTTGCAGTAGAGACGACGCTGTAAGTACGAATGAGAACCTGCGTGTGTGTACATACGACTTTCGACACGAACACTACGCGGACATATTTAGATTTGCGGCGGCCATATTGCGGAAACTAAGAAATGCTGGAGACAATAGATTTTCTAGCTCTATCTAATAGAACATGATTATTATATTCGTTAATTATTATATGTGTCTAATCCGCCTATTTGTAGGTTAGACAAGGATGTTTTAGAAACTTCCGTCGAAATCAGTCGAAAGTTTTAGGGTGGATTGAATTGCGCCCAGTGTGCTAGGAGGCATTGGATTGTCCTTTTTTTTTTTTTTTTTTGCGATTTCATATACAATTTAGCGTCGAAACAGGACTAATTGTTGCAAAATTTTGCTTCGTTAATTTCCTGTGCAGTAGAACTATTTTAAGGTGAGAATTTTATTTTATTTATTTTAAGGTGAGGTATTATCAGATCCTTAATACGTGATCGGATTGCGCCTTACCTATGTATTCCAATTTGATTTGGTACACTTTATAAAGAGCATACATCTAATGATAACTTGGTGGGCTACAATAAGGTTTCCATAAAGTTGTAAATTTAGTCCTTGCAGAATGAAGTCGTTTTTTGGTTTTTCGACAGAATATATAGCTGGACCATTGCCAATGAGTTTAATGCAATTAAAACTCTTAGAGTCAGACAATTTTATTGATCTAAAAGGCACAACATTTATGTGCATTAGCATAGGCGACACGTTCCGCTTCTTATATTATAATTAAGATTAAGAAAGTTCTCAATTCGTTTCAATCTTCTCGACAAGGTTAGTTAGAGGCGAAAATTTTATGTATGATTGCCACTTGGTGTTCAAGTTAATTTGATGGCCTGCAAAATAAATAACTTCAACCACCTGGTCCGAGCGCTAAAGCTCCAAAGTCGTTAGCTTTCAGTTTATGGACAGTGCTGTATTCATAGTTGTATATCCGCCTTTCGTGTCGAACCTAGAAAATAACACTATAAGTCTAGGGGGCGTCTGAGGCATTCACTTTTGACGAGTACATTCGAATTTTGTTTACATAAGTTTCGGAGCAGTATTTGCACGAAACAATTCTCCACGAAAACGCTTTTTCGTGGACAGATGTTTCGTGGTACCTTGATCCGAATGGCCATCATTTACCCTAACGCGGAATGGCTTGTCTTACAGAAAATCTTCTGTTTATTAGACTACTTTTCTGTACGGCTGACTATTCAAATAAGTGTGCGAGTTTAGATGTAACAGATGAAGAAGCAGATCAAAAATTAAAATAGGTAAGATCAACACATATAGGAGACCTTCGATAGATTTCTCCAATGTACGTTCAGGTCGAAAAAGGTTTCCTATCGCATAAATAGCGGTATGTGAATTTACGGCTATCAAGGCAAGCGCGAGAAACGGATCGATAAGCTATGTGACAGAAAATAAAACCCCAATTTTAAGTTACTGTAAGTAACTTTTAGTAAATCAGCAAGTGCTTTGCGAGAAAAAGTCGATCAAACCGTGAGTTTGATGACTGCCAAAGTAATATCTTGTTTTTGACAGAGTTCGTTCCCGATCGAATTATAACCCAATACGTCGCCATTGAATAAGTAGCGTTATCCCTTCTTTGTAACCGCAAAATCTTCGTATAAATCATCATTGAACATGGCGTAGCTTCATCTGAAAGCATATGGTCATGAACGATGTTCCTTGCTCATTTAACGGCGAAACTAACTGTTTTCTGTGATTTTCACTTAGCACTTAGTTTGTTGTCTCACCTTTAAATGAATAAAGAGTCAATTGTTTGATTAACCAAGGATCAAGGTAAGGATGTATTCTACATTTTGGTTTTCGTGATAAGTAGAAAACGTTTTTTTGATGATCTTTAACCGTTTTGATTGATTTAAATAATTTCTTTCTTTACGTATGGCGTCGACTTATCGATTTAGTTCGGGTCCAATACA